CCCTACGGGCCCCGCCACCACCCGACTGGTCCAGTCGCTGTGACCAGGGTCGGTCCGGCTCTTGGTGCCGGCCGCGGCAGGGAGCAGGGCCCGGGGGCACAGCCACTTCTGCAAACATTACACTTGTGATAAGAATTTTTTTTTAAAAAGGAAGGTTGTGCAGCATTGCCCAAAATATGGTCGGATTCCAGATTGTTCCGCTGTCCTCCGGAGGATGCATTCCATCGCTCGATTCACTTGAGATGCCAGGGGCTTTGCACCTTCAAAGGTTTCTAAAAGGTGTTCACTGCGCTCAATAATTGGTTTGCAATTTCTTTTCATGTGTCGGGCTCAGTGATACGTTTTTACCATCATCACATAAATCTATTTCGAGAACATCAAAAGAGCACCTTTCAATGCTACCTGATTCACGCAGGCGTAGGGGTCTACGACAGCCACCGTGTCGCAGCCGAACTGTCATGACATGAGGGAATTTTTAGAAAATGCTACTTTTATCTTATTAGCAAGGCTGACAGGTTAAATTCAGACCCGTTACAGCATCACTCATTTATCCCAGACTCTGGTGATAGCGACAGCAGCGCACTACGACCCTTTTCTTGGGGCAGGGTTGTAAAATGCCTCTCGGTGAAACATCACGCGTTGTACTGGGACCGAAGCATTTGACCCTAAGTCCCTCTCTAGCAGTCTCAACATCGGCCCTTGCTCTGAAACTGCAGAGCAGCGCTTGTCCTCGCCTCCCTCAGCACAGAGATTCCTCCCGTACTGCCACGGAACCAAGGCCATTCTGTACCTCAGAAAACATAAGATACGTTTTCTGACCCAAGAAGCCAACAGTGGGAGCTGGAGTAATCATGGTGTAACCAAGAGAAAGACCAATAAGCAAAGCCAAGCCAATTAAAAACATTTCTTTGTGAGAGTTTCCATCTCTGACCAGAGTGAACTCACAGAAATCCCTTTTGTAAAAGGTTTAGGTTATCTGAATAAATTACTCCAGACTGATTTTTACGTTGCTGTGGCTAGACAGAACGCCTGGAGTCCACCCAGCTACGAGCAAACCGTGCCAGCCACTGCAGGAACGGCCGTGCAGGTACATCCTAACGATGCATCAGCAGGAGGAACTAGAAAATATCTTTTGTTCCTGAAATAAATTGTTCCTGGCTCCCAGGCTCTGCATCCTAAACACACTGTTAGCTTCAAGCCCTGGATCTTTAATGTTCTGACTGAAGTAAGAAGTCACCCTTAGCATTTTAGTCCTTGCTGAGTAAGAGTAAACTTTTTGTTTTCAGCTTGAAAACTGTGTTTCTGGGATAAGGGTTGAGCAGCTCCTTCTCTCTCCCTTCATCACTCGGGCTGGCCTGACTTGCTTACTGCCGGGCTTTCAGGTCACTGCATAGTTCTGGCATTTCCATTTTACTCTTTAATGCTTTTCGTTAGGGCCTGAGGAAATGGATGAGAATGCTTTATAAATTCTTCAGTCTCTACACCAACATAGCAATGGCTGCTTTCGCAGAATTACAGATGTCCTCAGTCTCACGTGTTGCTGTAACGTTGTTGGAAGGCACAGCAGCTACAACTATACCACCCAAGGTGGCTTTTAACCTCCTAGTTTGCTCAATATTTACTGTTGTGCTATGAAGAAGCTTGAAACAGCACAAAGTCAAAAAGACCCTGATGGAGACAGCACCTGCAACAACACTTGTTGCACTTCAAAGAGAAAAAAACCTGCTTATTTCTTACATCAATGCTTTCACCCCACGAAGAATTCTTTCACAAATGCCAAGATGACTACATACCATAATACTGTGTGCTTTCCAAGATGCTCAAAGATAACTAATATCGTGTGTGGAAAAGTAAACCAAATGCCTAAAAATGTTCCTTTCCTTTTTAGGCTTATACTAGACACAAAAATCCAGTGAATTAACTGATAATTCCTTATTCTAATTAGGGTAATAGTTTTTACACTAAAATATGATAGAGCATAAGGAGCAAAGTGTCAGAACATAAAAATTTCCATTGTCTTGCATACCAAGTGATTAATCTATAGTGAGTTTGTGAAACTTGCTAATTTCTAATTTATGTTAAATATTACTGTTGATTTCGGAGCTCATTAAATGCTTTGTGAGTGCTAACTACTGACAATTAAAGCATCAGGGGGTCACTGAAATAAAAAAACCCTTGCACATATATCTGTGTATGAATGGAGAGTGGACAACTGGAATTTACTTTTCTTTGCTCAGATAATCAAAGGACAAGCTACCTTTTTAGTTAGCCCCCAGAAAATAGTTCAAAGACCTTTTTTTTCCCCTCAATGTTTAAAATATATTAATTTTCCCTAGGGAAAGCATAAAATCCAGTCATTTATGCACCTCTGTGCACGGGAAAATCAGTCCCCAGAGACTTTGAAAAACAGGTAATCGAGGCTCTGAGAACTACAGCCCTTCTTGCTGATCCTCAAGACACCCTTCACGTTATTCTTTTTATTTAGGAATGTCAAAAAGTAGTGGTCGTAGTTATCAAAAACACTAATGAAGATGTATTGGTCTAAAATCCAACCATTTTGAAACCTGAACCTGACTCTTCTACCCAGGCACAGGTGACGACGTCCGTCTGTGTTCGGGATGAGACAGTGCAGCCCTTCAGCCAAGGGCCGAAGCCACCGCTGCCGACGCTGGAAAATTGTCACTGAGACGGCTGCAGCTCCAGCTGGAGTTACCAGTACAGGGGATGGAACTGGTGACAACAGCAAAGCGCTGTCACTAAAATAAACATTCGAAAACAAGTTTTCCACTGCTACTTAAAAAAATGAACCCTGTTTTGCATGCAGAACCTAGGATTCAGCAGCCCACACACCCGAACGTCAAATGCAGTATTCACTCATATCTAAAATGTTTTTCCACACTAACACCGTGAACATCAGTGGTGTATTAACACCATGAACATGTATCATCTTACTGACAGAGTTCATACCTGACCCTGAGGGACTTCATCTTTCTTGTCTCTGTCCATCATAGGAATGGGCTGAATACCCGTTTTCTTCATTTCATCCCCCTGGAGAAAAGCAGAGAGAGATTAGGAGCACAAAAATCAAGACTACTGAGGTCTCAATTAATTTTCATTTTCTATTGTATGTCAATACAATACAATACAAATGACATTGTATGTCAAATCCAGGATTTAAGATAATGTGTCTGACCAGTCAAAGGCAATCTCATAAAACTACCTAAGGAGGGGCTCATTTTATACACTTACCTAAATGATAATGTAAATAGCAGACCCTGAAAATAAAGTTTTTGAGTCACTGTACATGCATTTTCCTTGTTACCAAGGGCATCTCCATACTAAAAAGCAACTGGAATAACCAAAGAAATCGGTTCATTCTCTGCTCTTCTCTTCGTGGTTAGTCTCACCTTTCAAAACATTGCCTGTTCAAAGCAGTGTAATACAGGGACCAGCAGAACATCACTCACCCATCCAAGGAAAGGCTGAGTAAAACAGATTAATTTACTACGTGCCCTCTTTGTTAGCAATCCGATCTTTTTGCCCGTGCTGCTTTGAAGCTGCAGCCTGTCAAACAGCTTTCTTTAAGTACCTTATCCCTCCACATTCATACGAGGAATACTGGGAAAGGCGCAGTATATCCAAAGATACAGGCAACGTGTAAGAGAAAACTGTCCCTTACATTTCAGCCATTCCCAGCAGAGCAGCCAAAACGCATTTCTGAGCGCTATACGGGGCCCAAACACAACTACTCCTTAAAAATCTGTACGTAGCTGCCTCCTTTCTGTAACAAACTGAAGTTTTCCAATAGTCTTATGCCTCAACTGCATTGTCAAAACACCACGGATGTTTAATCTTGAGGTTACAAAGGCAACTACAGCTGTAGAAATGGGTGCCTTTGGCTACTGCTCATGTCTGAGATTCCAAAGTCCATGTGGTCTTCAAACTGCTAACCTGATGTACCTCCAGTAAATAATATTTAATTTTCTATTTCCATTGTCTTGAAGTACTGCAACTGGTAAATCCAAGACTGTCTGCAGCTACCATAGTCTCAGTGCTAAGAACCTCAACGTTGAACCTTTTAGCATCGTCTGATTTTAAGCTCTTTCGCTAACATAATATCGAGTGCTTGAGAAACACCTGAAGTCAGAGCTTCGAGGAAGCTCTCCGGCCTCTGACTGATTACACTAAACGTGAACCAAGCTCAGATTTATGTTCACCATCTCGCCTTGAAAGAAAACAGGGTCACAGAATCGCAGAGGTGTTTGGGTTGGAAGGGACCTCGTGGGCTTCTCCGATCCATCCCACACCCCCACCTACCCGGCAGGACCATCTGGAGCTGTGATCCAGGACCAGGTCCAGTCTGGTTTTGAACATCTCCAAGGATGGAGACTCCACAACCTCCTTGGGCAACCTGTGCCACTGGTCAACCACCCTCACAGTAAAAAGTATCATGTTTAGATGGGAAGCATGCACTGAAAACAGGAAAACAGTTGTGTTTTCAGTATGTGCGAACACACGTATGGTATGCTGCTGTAAAAAATACTGCTTTGCTCCTCATAGTTCTGATCATGATCAGGAAGTTAAAACTGAAACTTTAAGTGAAGAAGTTTGAATCATACTTGCAGTATGGCTATAATTAGTGGCTTATAAAAAGTCTCAAAAAATACTACAGAAAGGGTTTAACAACTGCCCACTGTCTCACATCTCACCAAAAAATCTCAGCAGACAAATCATATATGAGCTTGTAACCCTATATAATTGATGAGCAAATACATTATTGTGCTTGAGTTGTAGCACTGTGGGAAAGCTTCATGCTGAATCATGGAGTCATTCGGGTTGGAAAAGACCTCAAAGATTATCAAGTCCAACCGTCAGCCCATCACCACCATGCCTGCTGAAGTGATACCAAAGTAAATCTTAGCTGAAAACATTAGTTATACTGGGCTTCATTCAATGAAGAAAGATCAGCATGACATACCACAAAATCGCTGCAACTTCTTCTACAGTTATTGTTTTGGTTAATGATTACACAAAGAAGAAATATTATAAAAATGTTCTGATTAAATCGTTCAACATCTTAAGATTATGAACTCAAGTAGTAATTTGAAGCAACATTCTACCCCACTTTCAGAACAGTAACATAACCATTCTATCTAGTCAAACATACTTCTCTAGAGTTGAACTTTTTTCCCAATTAAGTAATGATTTCTGCAGTGAAACACAATCTAAGCTTTCTATCGGTTTAGCTTTCCCGGGATTTTCTCTGTATCTGTCTCCAGCTTCCCGGTTTCCAGAAGCGTTTGGAACTGTGGCTGGATTTGTCAGCCATCCCCAGTGGATCACAACACACCCAACTTCTGCCATGTATCAATTCACCTCTTCTTAAAGAGGATTCAGTAAAATACCAATCACAAAAATCAATTTCTGTCAATAACTTCTAATTGATGTCTGCTTCGTGAAGTAGCAATATAACAAGATTCACCTTTGTTAACTCATCTTTGGATTACAGAACAGGTTAAAGTCTGAGTGGGCTCAATTCTGTCCATAATTCTCTCTTTATTTTTGTTGAGTAGGAAGAATCATTTCCATCCTTTCTTCTCCACTGAGTTCACAAGATTTGCATTAAAAAGTCATTTTACTTGTAAGCAGAGAAGTTGAGTATGTCATCAGCGAGGCACCTCAGCGCGACACCTCCATTATATCACTCACAAGAACACTCACTTTTCAGCGCTGACATTTTAGAAAGTGAGTACTGAACTAGATCTTTGAGCTTATACAGTCTGAATTTCTCAAAGATTTTATCATAGTCTACGTTGTTCATAGTCAGGAGAACATGTAAGTACAGAAAACACCCACCAGCCATGCGTGTCTTAAATTTCGTAACGAACGTGCACCAGGCAGCACAACAATCTCCACGCCTCCCCCACGCTGTGTCAGCTCTGCGGGCCTGATTTCCACCTTCCTCCTGTGCAGGACAGAAACCAGCCCACCGAATCCTGCAGGCTTCCCCAGGGCATCTCACAGAAACGACCACCGCCTGATGACAGACACGTGTGACAGCGGCTCTGGAAACGCAGCGTGTCTTCTCAAGCTGCGTAATTCAGCCCTACGCAACACCCTCAGAATTCATTCCTTATCCCTAAAGCAGTCACAGAATCACAGAATCACAGAATTGTAGGGGTTGGAAGGGCCCTCTGT